ATGGCCAGAGCTTGAATACACAGGAGAGTTCCTATCCAAGCTTTCTACACTGATTTTGAAACTCTCTGCAGGGTTGTGATGGGGTTTAATGCATCATCCATGTCCTCTTTACAGACAAACATGAGCACACTGTTCTATGCTCCACAGAACACAGTCCTCATGCTCCTGCTGCAGACAAACACTTAGATTGAATTATTAACAGTGAACATTCCTGCAAATACAGCAGCTGGGCAGTCTGCTCCTCCGCTGAGACTCTGCCATTCCTGAAGTCCTCCCCCAGGGATCAAGGCACCTTAGGAATCTAGAAGATTACCCCAACCCAGCCACTTCTGCTCCCCTCCACATCTGCTCCCCTCCAAAACCCCCTCCTAACTTCTAGAGAAAGAGGCAATCTAAAAAACAATCAGCAAATATAATCAGCCAATACGGTCAGCCTTGAGGCAAGACAAGCAGACTCTCCTCTACTCCAAAACCAAAGCCAACCCCCAACCCCAGCCTGCTGCTGTGCTAGGGTTAAGACTGCTGGTGAAGTTCACCACCACCAAATTTGTTCTATCCAGAAATGCAGGTGACAGGGGAATTAACTGGTGGCAGACAATTCCTGGGCCTGTGGGTGAATGTGTCTTCTTCCACACCACCCAGCATCTCACATGGGGCTGCCAGAGTGACCCACCAGGGAGGTGTCTGGGCCAAGTTCCAGAATAAGGTGGCAGCTCTTCAGCAGGGCTCCCTGGGCTGCTGAGCAGGTGGGTAGCAGGAAAGGTCCTTGAAAGGGAAGAAAGGGACTCCATGGAGTCAGAAGAGCCCCAGGTACTTCCCTAGGGAGCCAGAGGTCAAGAACCATCAAGGCCCAGGACCAAAAAAGCAAACGGCCAGGAGAAGCCAACTACCAGCCAAGAATAAACAGGAAAGGGCTGCCATGATCTCCTTTCAATCAAAGTTAACACAAAGGCTTCCAGGGCCACATCTACCACCTGGGTCAGACTTGTGCCAGATAGACAGATGCGCACATGCTCACACACACACGTGCACCCCTGGGCAGCCACAGCCTTGCTTCTCAGTCTACGTCCCCACCCCCACCACTCCCTTGCCTCCTTGCTACAGACATACGTGCTCACAGTCACAGAATTTCACCCACACAGCGCCTGTGCCTTTCTGATCACTAGAACAACTGGTGACAGTTGTAGGTTCAAACAGGCACAAAAGAAGAAATGCAGGAAATCACTGAGCTCCTCTGAAAGGAGTAGAGGGAAGGGCATAAGAACCTGGAGAAAGACAGGGTGGGGTGGAAGATGGGTTATCCCACACTGCTAGGGAAAACCCCTAGCAGCTCCCCCAAGCTCACAGGAACCCACGCAGGGTCAGAATCTTCCCCCTAGAAACCATGTCAGGAAGGTTGAATGTGGATGTGTAATAATAATACCACATATTTGAACAGGACTCTCCACTTTTCAAAGAGCTCTTCCATCCATTATCATCTAGAGTCACACCGGCCCGGACGATAGAGCTACTCATCTCCTAAAGTGCAAATGATCACCCTGCCCACACAGGGCACAAAGATGCCTTCTGCAAAATAATCATTAATAGCTAAGCATATGTAATAGTTGTGTGAGCATGCTTGTTTTTGTGTGAGTGCGTGCGGAAGCTCTATGTAGCAGAGTGGGATACAGTCAAACAAAAATGAGGTTGCCATGGCAACAGGCTCCGGCATCATTGCAGCCTATTAACACAAGTGAGGAATGTGTTTGGCAGATGCTCCAGTGTTATTTATGGTATGGGAAGAGCAGAGGGACTTCTAACAGGCAAAGGAGGAGAAAAAAACAACCCCATGACGCTCCTACTATACCCCAGTGAGGAGACAGGCACGACAGTGAGACAAGAGCACAGAAGAGGCTGAGAGGCCTCGAACGGGGAGGGAGAGATGGGAAAGCAAGGCCTGCAGGAAGGTAGCAGAGAGGTGAGGTGGGCAGACAGTAACAGGGACCAGGGGGAAAGGGAAGAGAAAGGAAGTCAGAGAGGAAAGGAGTAGGCAGAGAGAAAGAAGGAGCCGAGGGGGAGGGTGACAAACACTAGGGACAGAGCCACAGGGACAGAGAAGGGAAGAAGCACCATCCCACTAAGAGGGGCTGCGGCACTTTGTGTCCTGTTCCTCCCTTGAGTCAAAACCATCAGGAGCCTCCGGTTAAGAAACCAAATGCTTCTCCTAGTGGGAGCCAAGAGCAGAGCCCCACACATAAGAGAGAATCTGAAGAAGACTAAAATACACAGGTCAGATAACGATGTTGAGAACCTCAGCTAAGGGAGAGGGGGTCCAGCTTTGCAAGAGGAGCAGTAAAGAAATGCCAGTCCAGTTTACTGAGGGCCTACTATGTGCCCAAGCCACTGAGGGGAGAATTCCCAAAGCCCCAACATAGGAACTGCTCACTGCTACCCCATTTCCCTGGACATGTGTCTTCCTCAAAGAAAAGAGGAAGGCATCTAATCCAAACCACTTCACATGCCTGCTGCTCTGGGGTAACCTGAAGCAGAGGTTAATGCTAGACTGTCCCACTAATATTCCCCCATCAGCCGGCAGGGTTTGCTCAAGAAAGACAAATTTTATATGAAGCATAATCAAAAGGGTAAATCAAGTACAAACAAAAAAAGATAGCGTTTTCTCTGAAGCCAAATAGAGGAAATGTTTGCATTCCCTTGTCTTGAACCATTCATAACAAGTTCTGCACCACTCAGGACAGATCATATAAAGTAAATGTAAATCCACCCAAAATCCCACAGCCTTGCAAAGGTCTAAAGACCACAACGGGTAAAAGAAGAATGGGGTGGGAGCCAGTGAGGGTGTGGAGAGAAGGAAGAGGGATTTGCCTAAGGAACCAGAAGGGGAAGTCAGTCAGACAGACACTCTCTGTTGCTGCAATGGTATTTTCATGCTAAGATGGAATAGGGGCACCCCAGGTTCAGCACCCCTTTCCTGGGATCTGACTCCAACCTCCCTCAGGAGAAACCATACCTACATCTGTAATCAGACCTTGTGTCCCAAGTCTGGTTCACAAAATACCCTGAACTATCCCGAAAATCTCCATATGGATGACATGCCCCTTCCTCTGCAGAAAAGCTACAATCCACCCAAGTCAGGAGCAGTCCCCAAAGATACAACGACCATCTGAAAGCACGAGTTCTCAGGTCAAAAGAGTTGGGGCTTTTATAAGCACTAACAATGGTAGCAACTTTTATGCCACCAGCTCTCAAAAGGTTTCTCTCTCGAGTTCAAAGCTGGTCTCTAAAGATTTTTTTTCTTCTGATCCCAGATCAGAAAACTTTTAACTTAGCATCAACATCCCCACCTACTCCACTCATTGGACCCCAACTATACTGGCAAGCAGTTATTAAAGCCCTACTAAGTACTCTGCACTGTGTTAGGCAAGGAAGAGAGAATGGAGAAGGAAAAACACATATACCTTGGGATTTGTGCCTTCAAAGAGGTTACATTGGACAGACAGCAAAACCAGTGGACACTGGAGAACGAGTAAGTGCTCCACTCTGTGGCTATGACTCTACTGTTAATCATGCAGAAGACCAAGAAGCCAGCGTGGCTGGAATGGAAGGAGAAGGCTCCCTGTAGGGGAGTATGGCTTGGGGCAGAGGACATTAGAAGTGGAAGGGGCATAAACAATCCTCTCTTTCTCTAGAAAAGGCAGTGAAGGCCCAGAGAGCTTGCATGTCCCCTTCCTCCCAGTCACAGAGCACCTTGTGGGTTCAGCTAGAGCCCAGAGCCCTGAAACGTATAACAATGCTATTTCCTATGGGAGAATACTGTGTCCAGGAAGCCAGGGGACACAGGAGAACAACTCAAGAAAGATGCGGTACTCAAGAGGATAAAAGTCTAAGGGAAGGTACTAGAAGAGGGGAGAGGGAGGAAGGCAACAATAATGGAATACCCTTAATAGGTTCTATTAGATAAAGCAGACACTAGTTGGGGGATGTGTGTACTGGGGTCCAAGGTGAAGAGACTTGCCTGTAGCAAGGGCCCAGTTGACTCTCACAGTGGAGCAGCATGCAAACAAGCAGGTTCAGAAGCAATCACGGATGAGAACCATGAAACCAGATCACAGGACACTAAAGGGAGATGGTGTGGACATCAGGAGGCTCCTCTCACCCTGAGGTCAGGATTGCCAACATGCCCCTCTCCTGGAAGCCTTTAAGAGAGTTCACCAGTTAACCAGGCAAAACTTATATTTCTTCCTGAACCTATAGTTCAAATCCCAGCAGGGATAAAATGTCCCCACCACAAGCAATGACCAGGAGGACCCACATGAAGGGGTCATGATGTTCAACACCAGGTTTCTGTTCAGGCCAGAAAAGGAATTGCCACCACACACATCTCAGAGGCTCCTTCCCACTTTAGCTAAAGGCAGCTTTTTGGTTTTGGGCACTTTGCTAACTGAAACAAACTTGTCAGTCCTCTTGCAAGTTCCGGGATATATCCAGCCCCCAAATCCCCAGCCTCAGACAGGTGGCAGGTTCCTGCTATCTCCTCCTTAGCACTGAGCAAGGGGTGCAGGGTGTCCCCTCCCCAACCTTCTATCGGGGCTGGATTAACAAAGCAGCAGTGGTGCTTAGGAGGGGATGGATGCTAGAGGGTCCAGCCAGTTTTGTTAGGGACCTTTTGTATACAGGAACAGAAGCTCAGGAAGAGATGGAGACCACGCCATATAATTTTCTCCTCCAAAACCCTTTCTCACTGCATTCCCACAGTGATGACTACAGTTCAATGTACGTTATCTAAGGAGCAAGGAACATTGCAAACGACACAAGAGGACTCTTTGTAAACGAAGCTGCTGGGGCTCAGAGGAGGGTGCAAAGCTCCTAGTCAACATGGCCAAGCCCTGTCTTTCTGGCTCTTTTCACCATCCCAAAGGGTAAGGGTGGGATCCCTTTCTTTGGAGTCAAGCAGAGGCCTGCCTGCCCCGCAGTCCAGTCCCGGTGGCCAAGTGGGCCCCTACCTGTTTGAGCAGGAACTGGTCCTGGGCGTTGGTGCGCAGGGCGATGGCCAGGTGGAGGGCGGACAGGAGCACCCCGCTGAGCACCGCGGCCCGCATGCGCACGGGCAGCAGCGTGTAGATGGTGTAGATGAAGAACACGGTCCACCAGATGCCCTCGGAGGCGCTGCGCGGCTGCGGCAGCAGCAGGCCCACCACCTGGACGGCCAGCACCACAGCGATGAGCGCATAGCAGGCCAGGCCCATGTGGTCCTGGTGGAAGGCGGCACGGTTGCAGAGCACAGCCATGATGAGGATCACGCCCACCGCGGCCGCCAGCACCGCCAGGTAGGGCAGCTGGAGCGGGGGCCGCGCCGCGTGGAAGGCCAGCATGACCAGGCACACGAGCACCAACACGGCCATGAGCATGGTGAGGCTGCTCTGGTTCAGGCGGAAGAAGTAGCGCTGGTACAGCCGCTCCAGCTTGTCCGACGGGAACTTCTTGGAGCGGAATATCTGCAGCAACGCCAGGCAGCAGGCGCCCAGGGACAGCACCGCGCCGGGCCCCGCACCGGAGCCCGAATCCGCCGAGCTGCCGCCATCCCCGGACCCCTCGCCGCCCTCGACGGCGCTGGCCTCCACCTCGTCGGCCGCGCGGCCCTTGCCCCGCCGCTCCTCCAGGCCCACCTCCACCGAACGGGGGCGCACCTCCGTCCCGCCCGCCGCGGCCGCCGCCGCAGCCGAGCCGCCGCCGCCGCCCGCAGGGGGCGCCCGGGTGCTGCCCCCGCCGGCCGCGCCCCGCCGTTGCCGGCGGCTGCCGCGACCGCAGTCGTCCCCGCCGCGCTCCTGCCAGGCGGACTTGGAGCGAAAGCTGAAACCGAAGCCCCCGGCCAGGGGGTCGTCGCCGCTCAGCGGAGGATCGTCGTCGTCGTCGCTGCGCCAGCGGCTGGCCAGGCGCTGCTGCTGCTGCTGCGGGGCCACCGCCCCCCCGGGTTTCTTGGTGGAGCCGCGGGCCGAACCCCCGGGGACGTGGGGGTAGCCATTGGCGCGGGAATCGGCCTCGCCCCACGCTGAGCGGTGTTCCGGGCCTCCCCGGGGCGCTGCCGCCGCAGTCTTCTGCGCTGCGAAGCCCGGGGGGCTCACGCTTTTGGAGCCGGACATCCCCCCGTCGGCCTCGTGGTCTCCTTCCTCCTCCCCCGGAAGCCGGGCCGGGGGTCTCCAAGGGGAGGGCGGCCCGCCGAGCAGGGGGACCAGGCTAGGGTCACACGTCGGGGGCGGCCCGGGGCCCTGAGCCGCTGCGGGACATCTTGGCACCCCCGTCCTGAGCGGAGGAGGAGGGCGCTGCCCGAGGTGAGAAGTAGCTGAGGATCCGCGTCGGAAGTCCCAGGTCCAAGTTGGAGTTGCCTCCGAGCTGGGGCAGCGGGGACTGGTCGGGCTGCTGCTGCGTCGTGCGCGGAGAGACGTCTGGGCTCCTGGCTCGTGTCGAGCTCGACGAGGGCCGGAGTTGCGGCCGAGGGGGAACGGAGAGGTGTCCTTGCGGGCGGCGCCTCCCCGGGCCGGCAGTGCACGGGCGCGGCACTCGAAGATTCCGCCTAAGCGGAGCCCTGCTGCTCTCGGGGCTCAGCGGCGGCGAGGGCGGCTCGGCGGGGGTCCCGGCGAGGAGACACAGCGGGTGCCCTTTCCTCGCAGCGGACTGGGAGCGACTGGGAGGTGCTGGCGCCAGCCAGCATTATTTTCTTACGAGGGGTGGGGAGGTGGGATGGGAGGTGGAGAGGACGGGGGAGGGGGCGGCGGGCGGAGCAATAGCTCCGGAGCCCCGGGGGGGAGGGTCCTGGAGCCCGGGGGGGCCGTCGCCCGCATCCCCCACCTCCCGCGGCGAGAGTGGAAGCGTGGCCCGGGCGAAAACCGACCCGAGCCTTCCGCGCGTCCGCGCAGGGGGCGGGGTCCGGGTCCCGGACCGGCTCCTGCGGTGCGGCCCTTCCCCTCTTGCCTCCCCCTTTCCAGCAAAAGGAGCGGGGCCGGCCGGGACCCGCCGGCCGGGAGAGCTGTCGCGCCTGCTCCGCAAGCCCAGAGCTCCTCGCCGCCGGCTGCCGGCCCACCGCGGCCGGCGCGGAAAGACTAGGCGGAGGGCGAAATCCGGCGCCGCGCTGCCGCGGTTCTGCCCCAACGCAGGCAGGCTTCTCCCGGGGAGTAAGGCATCCAGAGATCGAGGGCCGGGGCTCAGAAGCAACCGACCCAGAGGGGCCCGACTGAGAGCCGCGGCGCCCAGGAGGCGCTCCGGGGGGGCCCGCGGGAGCCCGGCTCAGGGCGCGCCATGCACGCTTCGGGCCCTGTGCCGCTCCGGCCGCTCGCGCCGCTCCTCCCTTCTCGCCCGCTCGCCGCCGCCTGAGAGCCCTCCGCATCCCCTCCTCCCGCTGCCTCCCCGCCCCCCGCGCCGCCCGGGCCTCGGCTCACATCGGCTAGAGGCCGCCTCCGCCCCCAGCCTGGCCGCGGCCGCAGCCTCGGCGCCCCGTGGGCATCCTCAGGCCTGGCCGCGGGCACCCCAGCTCCCCTTCCTCACCTAAAATTCTCGCTGCGCCCCTCCCTCCCTGGCGCTAGGAGCCGCATCCAGCCTGCGGTCCTGTCACCAGACTTGGGTGGAGCGCGGTCTTCCCCCGCCCCCGGCCGGGGCTCCAGAGACCCGAGTCCTAGCTCCCTCTTTTGTATCCCCCTTTAATCCCCCTCCCCCCATTCAACCCAACTTCAGTCCCGGCGCTGAGCCCCCCTTCCCTGGCCTGGCTCGATTGGCCGCTTCTGGAGCTGTCAGACTTCAGTCCGGCGCTCTTATTGGGCGATTCTCTGGCCCGGCGGCTGTGCCAAAGGAGGGCGCACCGTGTGGGGGTCGTCTGGGCAGCGACTGCCGCAAGGAGAGGGAGACCAGAGTCCCTGGAGGGGTCGCAGGGTCCCGAAAGCCAGACCCGGAAATGGACAGGGGAGATGCAGAGACAGGACCTCTGAGAGGCAGGAAGACAGTGATGGAAAAGATGGTGATGCAGTGGGTGAGGCCGATGCAGCCAGGGCGGGGCGGACAGGGAGGCTTTGGTGGGTAGTTACCAGGAGAAAGCCCCACAGTCAGCACTGGAAACACCTGGCTTTTATAAAGCGCTCTTCGCCTGTTCACAAAGTCTCATAAATTTCACTTGGTTCCCGTCAGTAACCCTAAGATGAGACAGAGGACAGAGACCGTGTAGCTATTCCCAGCTTATAGATGCAAAAACTGAGGCCCCGGGAGCTTATTCAGATTGCCATAGGTCACACAGGTCTCCTAACTTGGCACCCAAAGGTCCTTCGTCAGCGCCAGGCTGCCTCCCTAACCTAACAAGGTGTTAGCAGGAAGGCTGAGCACCTGAGCAAGCTGGCGCAACCGCCGCGGGGAAGCAGGGGAAGGGGAAAGTGGCTAGATACACAGCGCCAGCCATAAGAGGCAGGAATGGAAAGAAGGATTCGACTGCCAGGCAAAAAGGACCTAGGCCTGTAGAATGATGTATCTACCCAACTCCTTTTGCCCCTAAGCGGTCCTGGTGGAGGTTCTGACAACCTAACCCTGGAGAGGTAGGAGACCACACCCCTATCCAGCCTGGGGGTAAACAGCTTTTACTTTCCCCTTCTTCATCCTCCAGCCCTCTCCCCAGAGCTTCTGACAGGGAGCCTAGAGGTCTAAGAGAGCTTCCTTCTTTCTCTCTCTCTCTGCTGGTCATCTCTGCAGACTGGAAGATAAATCTTGCCAGGGTTACAAATTGGGTGGAGAAAAATTCCAACAGGTCAGAATAAACTAACCCTTGAGTAATCCAGCCTTTGAGTATTCCACTATTAGCCAAGTTGTAAAAAGCAACATAAATTTCGTCAATAAAAAGTATAGAGAACCCTCAATGTACTAAGCACTGTGCTAGTTGCTACCAGGATGGAGAAATGACCAAACTCTAGACCAGGAACAAGTCAGGGATGGAGAAGAGCTAGCCACTATCTCTAGGTCAGAGCAAAGTCTGGGGTTTGACAGAGTCCAAACAGCACCTCGGACATTCAGAGACGGCGGCATCGCTTCCCATTGTGAGGGCCAAACAAAGGCCTGGAGGTCAAACCTGGGTTTGTCAGGGAAGGATGCCTAAGAAAGGGAGAGTGGACTAATATTTACTAAGCAACTACTAAATGTCTGTAAACATTTTATTGTCAGATAACCATTCTGAGGAAGGTTCTCCCCACTATAAAGGTGAGAAAACTGAGATTTAGGAAATCAAAACGTTTGTCCAGCTGGGCATGGTGGCTCACACCTGTAACCCCAGCACTATGGGAGGCTGAGGCGGGTGGATCACCTGAGGTCAGGAACTCATGACCATCCTGGCCAACATGGTGAAACCCTGTCTCTACTAAAAATACAAAAATTAGCTGGGCATGGTGGCACAAGCCTGTAATCCTACTCAGGAGTCTGAGGCAGGAGAATCACTTGAATCCTGAAGGTGGAGGTTGCAGTGAGCCAAGATCACACCATTGCAATCCAGCCTGAATGAGACTCTGTATCAGAAAAAAAAAAAAAAAAAAAAAGTTTGCCTGAAGCTCACAGTTGTAGCAGTCTGTTCCTTGCATTCTACCATGTAGTAATGTGGCTGATATGACATGAGTGGCACACTCAGGACATAGGCAACTGCACAGGTGGGGGCAACATGGCCAGAGGTGTCAAGGCTATTGATCAAGTTTCCATCCTTGATCCTCTCATCTTTTCATTCCCAGAGCTATCCCTAAGTCATTCCTCTTTACTTTATTCAATGTTTAAAAAATAATCATCTTACAACAAAAGCCATGTATGACTGATGTGGAAAAAAATAAAAAGAAAGAAAACACACTCATATCACCTAGAAATAACCAGTATTATTCTTCTAATTTTTTTCTTAAATGATAACTGGATCTTTCACACTGCAATTAGTTTTAGAGTCTACCATTTTCTACTTCAAAAAATATTGTGGATGATTTTTCATGTCAATAAGGATTCATCTACAATATCCATTTTACCGTCCAAATAGAATTACATTGCATGGGTATGGTATAATTTATTTAACCAATCCCCACTGTTAGGCATTTTTCACTGTCATAGCAGTTTATAAAAAGTTTCCACTCCTTTACTGTTATAAACAGCATTTTTGTAGATAAATTTACACACAAGCTGGGCACAGTGGCTCACATTGGTCGTCTCAGCTACTCAGGAGGCTGAGCAAGAGGGTCTCGAGCCCAGGAGTTCAAGGCCAAACTAGGCAACATCGAACGCCGTCTCATTCATTCATTCATAAATAAATAAATATTTACAAATAGCCTTAGGAGAAATTCCTACAACTGCTGAGTCCAAGGATAAGCCTGTTTTTTTCTTTAAGACGTTTCTGAAATCTGTATCTTCAGCCCTTGCCTCCCTTCCCAGCTCCTTGGGACCCACCAGCTCCCAGATTCACTGCTTCTGAAAATAAGATCATCTCCCAAGTAGTTTGCTCCTCCCTCCCTTTTCCTGCTACTGGTGGAATTACCTTCCCCAAACTCCTTGATCTTAAAAGCGGTAGTCTCTCCTCTGCCCTTGTCTTTCTGAATCTGTCTCTTCTTCCACATTCTCTTACCACAATCTTCATCCAGATCATCCCCCTCCTTGCCTGGATAATTGCCAGCTCTCCCTCCATGCCCTCAAATCTGTCCTCTGCCTTGTCCCCATCTGATCTCCCACTGAAATCATGTCCACAAAACAGCCTGTTCCTACCTGCCACTGTCACTGTTTACCACCTTCTTGTCACCCAGCCCCATGAACTGCTCTTTGTGCCTCTGCAGAGGTAACCCTTTTTCCTCCACAAATCAAACTCAGCACCTGAGGGAAGCCCTCCCTAATGCCCCTCCCTTCCCTCCACCCCTCCCCCATTCTGATAAGGACGCCCTCCTCCTCTGCCCCCAACACACCTTGCTTATACCTATTATAGCACTTGTCACATTGTATCATCTGGACTTGATTACAGAACTGTCTCCACAGTCTGCTGAATGCCTTGGGGGTAGAGTTGGGATCTTATTCCGTGCCCAGTGTTCAGCCTGGTGTCTGGCACATAGGAGGTGCCCAATAGTTGCTGGATAAACACTTGGTACATCTGAGGAATGGTGAGCAGGATGGAGTCTCAGGTGTATGTAGGGGAGAAGGACTTACGACAGTGGGTGAAGAGGAACAGGTGAGTTGAACTCTGGAACACATGCAGAAGAGGTTGGGCTTCAGTTGAAAAACAACCCCTGAATTTAGGGACAGAAGTGTTCTGGTTTGTTCTCTTTTAAGAGGCAAACTCTGGCAATGATGTTACTACATTTAAGAAGCAAGCTCCCTGTAATCCCAGCACTTTGGAAATCCAGCGTGGAAGGATCGCTTGAGGCCAGGAATTCAAGACCAGCCTTGGCACCATAGCTGATAATAGTGAGACCCCATTTCTACAAAAAATTTCAAAATTGCTAGGTGTGGTGGTGTGCCTCTGTAAAACCAGCTACTCGGGAAGCTGACTGGGAGTATTGTTTGAGCCCAGAAGTTCCAGGCTGCAGCCAGCTATGATCATGCCACTGTACTCCAGCCTGGGTGACAAAGTGAGATTCTGTCACTGGGGGCGGGGGCGGGGGTGAGATCCAAGGGTGTGGGAAGCCAGTCAGGAAA